ATGAATTCTTTTACCAGGAAGTGGCAGCAAAAACCCCAATAATCTCCTTTATCTTGTGTAGCACAAGTTTGACCACATGTGCTGTTTGCTGATGACATTCCTCCATATTCCTGTTAGCAGTTTCTGTTAGCATTTTGTTTAAGCATTTCTCTTAAGAAAATAATTTGGCTACCTTTTCTGTCCCATTTGTAGTGTTTGCCTATCAACCAGAAGGTGTGGCTTGTGTGCATACTGATTGTGTTTTCTCTGAGTTGTCCTGGTTTTCAGAACAGGTAAGGCATAACCCAGCTCTCCATTTGCTTGTTCTAGCTTTGAGCACCTAGAAATGTTTGCTTGTGGCACCAGGAAGCCCTATGGGGAGATGCAATGAGAAACATTCCAAGGCATGGTATCCTTAACTCTGAAGACTTACTACTTTCTACAACTTCACTTCCACACATAGTCACTTTCAGCTGTTTATTTCACCTCCCCACATCTCAGTGAACTTCCCTTCTGATGGCTCAAGTGGGAAGAGATTTTCTCTATCCCTTGTGCATCTTACCACTTTCCCACCACATGGAGCTCTGTGTTTAATGTTACTGCAATTCTTCACCCTACAGCCAGACCAGACCTCCAGGCCAGAACTCACTAAGCTCGCACCTGACATTGCTGGAGTCACTTAAGTTAGGACAGTGATCTTTCACTTTTAAAATATTCTCCCACTACTGTACTTCAAATGAATGCCAAGAAGAGCAAAATTTCTCTGAGCCAATTAGTTACACAGACTGCAGGTGTCCTTAGACCTTTTTTTTTTTTTTTTTTTTTTTGCAAATTAATACCAGTGTTTGTTGTCATTCCTGAGGTTCTTTTTTCTTTCCTCTCAAGCCCTACCCTATGCCATACAGGAAAGCTCTCTTTGTATCTCAGTGTGCATTATCAAATATATGTGTATTTTAAGAATATTTTTGTCTGTTTTCTATGAAACTGCAATGCCTGTTTTCTCAGGTTCTTTCTTTCTTTTATCTAAGCCTCTCTTCTGTCACTGTAAGTTCCACATGCTTAAGCTCTCTTTCTCTCCCTCTCTCCTGATCACATTTTTTAAATTTGTAGATGTTTTTGTTGACTACTGAATCTTCAGTGCCTTCCCAACCTCACACATCATAAAAGTTTGCTGCTCACTACATTTGGCCTCTATGTCTCAGAGATCCTGGGGAAAGGCTGATGCCATTAATCTACCATCTTCACATTTATTAATGACTGTTATGTAGCTATACCTTCCTTTCAGTATTGTGGTCTTGTTCCTTTTTTTTTCCCTACTGGTATGTTTTGATTGCTTTTTCTTGTCATTTGTGCCTGTATTAAATTTTTTTTGTATTCACAAGTTTTCATAACATTTTATAGTTATCTTCTTATAATTTTAGCAAAGAAAACTTAGTTATAATTGCAAACAAAGTCTCTATACTGACTTCCTTCACACTCCACATTTAATACTATTCATGTTATACGTAAGGTTCTGAACTGAAGAAACTGTCATATTCAGAAGTCCTTCTTACATGAAACTGTCTAAATCTCTGTCTTTACGCCTGACCTTCAGAGATTTGCAATCCTATAGATATATGGTCTGATTCCTGGAATCTATGCATGCCAAGATGAACACTTTCCAGAAATCATCCCCATGGTACAGAGAGTTAAAACCTCAGAAATGATAGGAATGTCCCTTCATGTCAATGTGTGTGTCTCCTTCTTTCCAGTTCTCAACTGATTCCCACTGTCAGCACTCCTTCTGTAGCTGTTCTCAGCAGCTGCAGGAGGGCAACTGGGAAGAAATTGCCACAAGGAATTTCTTGTCCTCTACTCACAGGTCCAAGGCTGACTTCAGTTTACAGTCATTGACCTCAGCCATGTACTCTCTATTGCACCTTATTCATGGTCATTACACCAATGCTGATGGGTTTTTTTTTGGTGGTACTGGAGTGTGAACTACGGTATTCTTGCATCCAAAGCAAGTGATTTACTGATTCGGCCACACTCCCAGTCCATTTTCCTCTGGGGTCTCCATCACTTATTTGCTTAGCTTGACTTTTGGCTGCAATCCTCCTGATCTCAGCCTCCCAAGTTACAAGAATTATTGATATGAGCCACCAGCCACCAGCTCAACATTGATCATTTAATACAGACAAAAGTCACAATTGTTGCTGTGGTCTGGACTCAGGTGTGCTAGAATAGTTGCCTGGAACATTGTCTCATGCAGTCAAAGAATCATAGTCACAGACAACAGGGTAAGCAAAAGAGAAGAGTTTTATATAAGAAGAGAGGAAAAGAGTAGAAAATCTCCTGTATACATGGGAGGGATCTCAGAAAGGCAGAGCTCATGAGATTCATTTAGTAGTGGTTTCTATAAGAAGTTTTATTTCCTAGTTGAAGGAAAACTGCCTGTGTCTTTGTACTACTGGTCCATTTAGGAGATGCATGCCAGCATCAGCCAATATGTTTCACAGTGACATTGTGCTTGCCCCTCTTTCCCTTCCCCATAGCACTGAGAAATGGCATAGAGGGCATGGCTGACATACCAGCATTTTTGTCACCTTAACCAACTCTTGAATGAGATAATCAAAAGTTTAGTCTTCTCATCCCCACTGGTTCATTGGATCCCTGATCTTCATTATGGTTGTCACCAGATGATTTGTCCCAGGGAAATTACATTTTGTGTCCATTAGAAATTTTATTTTTTAAAAATCCCAATCCTACCCTTATAGGATAAATCCATTCGTTTCCGTAGATAAATCCCAAACTATGTGTAGGGTGGTTACCTTTAAAAGACTCATGTTTGTTTGTTTGGGTGATACTGGGATTTGAACTCAGGACCTCATGCTTGCTAGGAAGGTGCTCTAACACTTGAGCCACTCCACTAACTCTATAAATAACTCTTAATTATAGGTTGGCTTAATGATTATCAATTGGATGCCAGTCAGGGTTATTTAGTGAAATTCTGTCTCATAATAAAAGTATGTTGGGATATTGCTCACCACTGGACAGGTTTCCCAGCAATTACAAGGTCTTGGGCTAAACCCATAGCAATACACAGACACACACACACACACACACACAAGAAACAAAGTGAATTAACATAAACTGCAAATATACATTGCGAAGTGAAAGTACATAACAAATAAAAAAATAGTAAAAAAATATATTTGATATCCTAACAGTAAAACCAAAATGGATACAGGGAAAGCACAATTTAATGGAACTTAAGCCAGGGACTGGAGGCTCCCACCTGTAATCTTAGTTGTTTTGGAGACAGTGGTAGGAGGTCTCCACTACCTACCACAGTATCGCCATATTTGCCATGTGTCTGCTGGAGAGTTGTCAGGTTACCCAGCTCCAGTAGCTGTGTGAAACCTTCTGACTGCATGACCATAGGGAGGTCACCTGGAAGCATCAGAAGAGGGAAATGGTGAGAGTGTGGCAGGGCATCTGCCATGCTGGGTGGAGGGACTGTTGAAACCAAAAGTAGTGGTGGTTTTGGCTGGGCCTTGTCTTGTGGGTTCCACAAACTGAGCCCAGATCACACTGTTGGGTCTTAGGTCCTCTGCCACCTTAGGGTGGTGATGGACTGGGGGTCTTTAACCAGTCCTATGTCTCTGTGAGGTGACTTCATCCCAACCACAGCCCTGTTGGGAATTTCTGCCTGAAAATCCCTATCTGGCCAACTTAGGTGGCTAGGAATACCACCACATATTTATGCAGTTTGTGCTGGGCAGAGGCCCTCCTTTGCAGTGTCCCTATAACTCCTTACTGTAACCTGGCTTCCTTTTCATTCTTTCAGGTTCAAGGGAAGTATAGGCTAAACTCTATGCTGTGTCCTAAATCTAGTGCTACTTAGTGCTGCCAATAAGTCCCTAAATTTCCACAAATTCTGCACATTGTCAGATTCTTTGGAAATTCAGATCCACATGTGCCCATGGTTGGCTTCTGAGTGGCTGAGACACTTTTTACCCTTCCTGACTCAACAGTTAATTTTCCACAGGTAGTTTCTAGAATATTTTTCTATAATGAAATGCTGATTAACTTAGACTGATTTTAAGAGTATTACTCTAGATGGAAAGGCACACAAGAAAGGTGATTTGCTCTCAAATAGAGGAAAAAACAGAAGAAAAAATTTGGGTGTAGACAGACATGGAGACTGGCAAAATGAGTTTTCTCCTGTGATCATCTTGGTCTTGTTTTTCTCCTTGTTTTATTTTTGGTGACTGAAGTTTGAACTCATAGCTTAGCATTCACAGAGCAGGTGCTCAACTGGCTGACCCACATCTCCAGTCTATTTTATCTGGTTCTTTTGGAGGTGGGGTCCATAAGTGAGATAAGTAAATTACTTTCTTTGGCAATGTATTTTTATTTTCTTGGGTGCAAATGATTAGGTTGAAACATGAGGTGTGAGAAATCCTTGGACATCTGCTTTACTCCAGTTTCCAGAGTTTGACCATCAGCCCTACATCGACTTCCTGTGTCCTAGATACCTGAGTCTTCCCACCTTAACAGACATGATGAATTTTCTCCAAGGAATATTGACTCTACAATTCTCTGAGTAAACCTGTTGTCCCATTTTCAGGAAAAGTATGCAAGAAGGTCACAGTGAGTATGGTAAGAGTCAGGCGCTGGTTCCAGAGGGCAAGGACAAGTTCTGCTGAATGTAATTATCTGACAAACTAAAATATAACTCCGACAAAGGAAGCCTGACTAGCAAGGGTCAGGCTTCCTTTTTTTTTTTTTTTTGGTTCTTCCATTTTCAACTCACCAGTTTAGCATCCCCTCCCCACTCCACTTCCCATCACTCAAGGGCTTGGGGGTGGGCCCTGTGTCCAGTAGCCAATCAGAGTCGCTGTTCAATCGCCTGCACCTCCCGTCCAATGAGGAGCGACGGTGTTAGGCGATTCACGATGCCTTCCTCATGATCGCCATATTTGCCATGCGCCTGCTGGAGGGACATTGCTCAGGCTTTAGAGCTCAGCAGCCGTGTGAAATCTTCTGACTGCAGGACCGTAGTGAGGTCACCTGGTCGCGTCAGAGCGGGAAATGGTGAGAGGGGCTGGGCACCTGCAGTCCGGTTGGAGGGACTGTTGGATCCCGAAGCTGCGGTGATTTTGACTGGGCCCTGTCCCTTCCGGAGTCTGCGCCCTGATCGTTCTGTCAGGACATTAGGTCCGCGGGCGACTGGATGGTGGCGATGAACCGGGAGCCCCGTCCTGTGTCCCTGTGAGGTGACTTAATCCCAGCCCCCAGCCCTGCTGGGAGATTCTGCAAATTCCTGTCCCGCAGACTGAGGTGGCTTGGAGTCTCCCGAGTACTTACGGACTTTGGTCCGGGACAGGGCGCTCCTGTGCAGAGTCCCCAAACTCCTTATGGGACCTGGCTTCCCTTTCAGTCCTTCAGGTTGAAGGAAATCCTGGGCTAAACTCTATGCCCTGTCCCCTCAATGCAGTGCTTCTTGGTGCTGCTAATCTGTCTTTAAATTTCCACGAATCCCGCACATTGTCAGATTCATTGAAAATGCGAATCCACACGTGCACGTGGTTGGCTTCTGAGTGGAGGGGACACTTTTTGCCCTTCCTGACACAGGCTGTTTTTCGAATATGGTTTAATAATGAGATGCTGATTAACTTAGACCATGACTTTAAGAGATTTACACTAGGTGGAAAGCCCCAAAAGTAAGGTATGGAGGCATCTCAAGGCAGAAAGGCTATTTGCTCTCAAAGAGAAGGGAAAACATGTAAAGAAATAAATAGGGAGTGGACAGACATGGAGATTGCGACATCAGTTTTCTCCTGTGATCATCTTGGTTTTGTTTCTTTGTTACTTGTTTTATTTTGGGGAACCTAAGTTTAAAAATCATAGTTTTACATTTACAGAGCAGCGCTCAACCGCTTGACCCATATTTCTAGTCAATTTTGCTCTGGATATTTTGGAGATGGGGGTCTCCTTAATTATTTTTCTTACCTGACTTTTTCATCATGATCTCCCAAATACCTAGGTTTACAGGAAGGAGCTAGTACTGGTAGGATCTTTGTGGTCTTTTTTTGCCATCTCTGGATTTTGAACTGAGGGCCTCATGCTTGCTAGGCAAGTGCACTACCACTTGAGTGACTCCACTAGCCTTTTTTTGTGATAGGTTTTTTCCAAGATAGGGTCTCAAGAACTTTCTGCTAGCATGGGCTTTGAACCAAGAGACTCCCGATCTCTGTCCCCCTGAGCAGCTAGAATTACAGGCAAGAACCACAGGGACCTGGGTTCTTCATGAACTTATGGTGACATGAATGTGTGATTTGTTTGATGACTCAGGCTCAGATTTGCCAAATTCACCTTACAACTATTTACAAATCATTTTGAAGATATTTGCAATGATTATTTCATAATCACTTTTTATGCAAAATAGGGCATTTGGGAAATGTTCGGGGGAATGTCTGAGTTTGCAAAGGGGGTAATGGGAAGAATGTTGGTTCTGTGCTTTTGTAGTGCAGAAATGATTGGAAGTGTGAGTTAATTGCTGATATTTGTGAGTGTTACAACTTCAGAATATATCATTCCACCTCTTTCCTTTTGTGTTGAAGTACGTGGTTAGACAGAGTGTAATTTGTATCAATATAGACAAGTCTGGGAAGCCCAGGCTCATAGAAAGACCCTTTATATTTCTCCAGGTCGGGCAAAAGTTGGTGCATTTGGAAGGTGATGTGGGTGTGTAGTATAAATTAAACATTTTGGTCCTTGTGTCAGTATCTAGCAAAGAGATTCTGAAATCCTTGAAATTTCTGAGGCAATAGGAGTGTATTATTTGTTTTCCTAAGCCCCGTTGAGGCAATGTTTGCATTTTCATGACTTGTCTCAGGGTGGTAGCTCTCTATGACTTTAGGAAGGTGACTGGTGTGACAAGACATAGCAAACATGGTCAAGGGCTTGTTGTCTGTTTCTCACTGCCCAGAAGCTGCAGGGACTGTGCTAAGTCTGGATGGTGTCAGAGTTGAGTGGTAGGACACTCAGTTGGTATTTGAAAGTTGGTTGATGTTGACAACACCACATATTTGTTATCAGACGTGATGGCAAGTTCAGGACATAACATTTGGGATCTTTGGGGAATGTTTGGTACTGTTACCCGAGTGTCCATTCTTGTACTTATGTCCTGTGTGAGATGAATTCAGGCAAGGCAGTGGAGTTGAGCAAAAGTGAAGCATGGTTCATGAAGGAAAGAGTACACACTGAATAGATTTCATAGGTAGCAGTTAGGCATAAACCATGTAGATAAGCAAACCTAAAATGGTGGAAGTGATCAGAAGGTTTCTGAAAAGAAGCATTGCAATTAATACATCTCAGTGTACATTGACAAAGATTAAGATTGCCCACTAAGGTCACAGGATGTTAGAAGATGACTCTGAGTATTTCCCTCAACTTAAAGTGGGTGCATGACAACAGTTTCGGGAGAAATAGATCTTTCACAAAGACTCAGTCCCACAAACCATATCCATGTGGTGAGGTTGACCCAAAAGATTTTGCTTATTATCCTATGTAAAGTTGCCCTAGTGTTCTACACTGTTAGCAGAATATTCCTTTAGGGTGGGGGTTTTGGGATTGGTGCTCTGTAGAGTATGGGTAATTTAAATTTATTAGGGAGTTTTGATAATGTATGAATTTACCTGAACTTTTATGGATGTTTTCTTATTCTGTGATTTGCCCACAGGTGGAATGTTCTAATATATTACACTTGTCCATTTAGCATTAAACAGCTTCTTTATATGCTGATGCTTGTACTATACTGATGACCTGTGGTGTTGAGCATTTTTCCTACTTGTTCCTTCATGTTACTCTCACCCCCCATCTCACCCCTTCCTCTCTGCCTGTCATTCTTCTTTTGCTATTCCTTTGTTCTGGGTAAATGGTGCTCTTCTATTAATGTGAAGTTCGGATGGTTATTATAAATTCAGCAAAGTGATGTGCTGTGAGTCTAGCTGGTGTAGTACAATCTTGCTGAAATTATTTATATACTTATTTATTTACTTATTTATTACTCAGGGTCTATGATTGCTAAGTCAAGCGCTACACCACTTGAGCCAGTCCAACAGGTGGAATAATTTATTAATTATTTTATCACATTTTCTGTTCCCCTTTATGATACCAAGTATGTGTAAAATGTGTTGTTAGTAATTTCCTGAACATGCAAAATCCTTTTCTAAGAGAGCTACATGCATTTCAATTAAAGATGTGCTGCTGCTTCATGGACAGGACAGGCATATTGGTGTGTTCCCCACTATTGTTCTTCAAATCATATATAACCGTTCTTACTAATTTTTCCTATTACAAGATATCAGCTAGTGCATAGTTCATGTTCAATGACTTTCTTTAAGCAAAGTTTTTTCTTGAATACCAGTAGTGAGGAAGACAATAAAGAATTTTTGTTCTTTTCTTAAGTTTCTAACACTTTTTCTTTATGTGATGTAAGTTCTTAGACTATATGTTCTTAGCTTATATGTAACTTTCAACAATTTACAAAATTCAGATACTGGTGACACATTCTGTGAATTTTAAAGTGTTTCTCTTCTGGCTGCATGATTTCAAACACTTTCACTTTGATTCTTTGTTCTTGTTCTTGTCCTCCGTTAAGCACCTGTAGTGATGGTTTAATTGAACTTCTTGTGTATCCATCTTCATAATTTCTATAGCATCCTTTGATTTCTAAGTGTACTGATATTAACTTCTTTGTACATAGTATTTCCACTTTGCTGTTTCTTCAACATGCTTGCCTACAGTCCTTTGATTCTACTATAGACAGTCCCAAGAAAAGCTTTGTGAAATGAGTCCACTGCCTGAGATTTTTCAGCAGTCAATATTCTCATTCTGAAAATAGAACTTTGGACCCAGGGCCCAGGTTCCTCAGAATCCAAATTCTAGGTCCAGTTAATTACCTTTGAAGTTGAAATAAAGAAGCATGGTGAAGGCAGGGAAAGGAAAATTATTACACAGCTAGGGGATATGCTGTGGGATGAGGCAGCTTAAGCCCTGAGCTCATGTTCACCATCTGCAGGGTACAGACATGAGATATAAATTTAAATAGGCAAAGAATTGGGGGCAGGGACCAAATATATGCAAATTTAAACAGTTCCAGTCACAAGTGTGGTCTAGTTATAACTCAGTTGTAGGTTTGGGAGAGGTTCTGGAGTTGTTATACAGAGCATGGTCCATCCAAGAAGGGTCTACTGTTGGGGGTAGATTTGGTTTCAGGTCAGGAAGAAAATATCTATCTTCTCCTTCCTAGATTCTGAGTGGGTTGCAAGGTGACTGCAGAGAATGGCTCAGAGAAAAGACTGATTGAAAATGGAGAGATGCCGTGTTTTTCCCTGCTTTTAGTTGATTCATGGGCTGAGTATGGAGTCCATGCTTTTTAGCAAAAGTTTTCTGAGGAACTCCTTACAATGCTTTTTAACTATGATCCACATTTCTCTGTCTCTTCATATTTGTTGTTGTTTGTTCCTTGCGTGTGAAGAGTGGATATGATATTTTCTTCATGCACAGTTTTTCCATTTTCCTGTTTCTTCACCATCTTTCCCTTTTTCTCATGAGGAAAATTTGTACTATTATATGCAACAGGTATTTCATCATGATTTCTGGTTTATTGTTTTTAGTTAGTACTGGGGTTTGAACTCAGGGCCCCACGCTTGATAGGGAGGCACTTTCTCACTTGAGCCCCTCTACCAGCCCTTTGATTTCTAAAATGTTCAAGTTTTATCTTTCCCATTTCATTGTATTTATAGGCATTTGATATACATATCTATAGACTTTATATAGCTCACACAAGACCTCATTCAGGAAAAAGCATGAATGCTTAGGATTCATAGTGTTCTGTATTCTAAAGTTACTCCAGTTTACTTCTTCCATATGTATATTAGGTCCCAGCATCCAGAACATGAAATCACATACAATATGCTACATTACTGTCTCCAAAATAATGTTCTTGTAAACATTAACAGTAATAAAAAACTAGATCTTAATATTTTGTGCTCTGTATCTTAAATTTGAGTGTACTTGTCTCATTT